GAGGTGCCTACACACAAACAAAAAACAAAAGAACCAAAACAACCAAAACAACGAATAAAGAACTATATATCAGGTACAGTAGTGCATGCCTTTAATCCCAGCACTTGGGAGGCAGAGGCAGGCAGATCTCTGTGAATTCAAGGCCAGTCTGATCTACATATTGAGTTCCAGGACAGCCAGATCTACTTAGTGAGACCCTGTCTCAAAAATAAAACAAAACAAAACAGAAACAGAGAAAAAGTTGTATTTCTTTTAAAAATGTCTTCAGTTAGCATAGAGGATTGATTTCACTCACTCTGGTATTCCCGTGCACGTGTACCAGTGTGTTTTGCTCTCATCACCACACTGCCGTGCATCCACCATCCTTGCTTCCTGGTTCTTGCTGATTCCTCCCAACCCTCCTTATTCTATAGTCACTCTTTTGTTTTCATGTCCTCTGAGTGCATCTGTTTAAATTTCAGCCTAAAGGAAAAAACGTGAATTTTGTCTTTCTTCTCTTCATTACCCTCTTTTTTCTTTAGTTATTGTTGTTTTGTTTGTTGCTGTTATTTTTTTGCTAGCTTTCTTTTTGAGACAGGGTCTCACTACAGAGCCCTGACTGTCCTGGAACTCACGATGTAGACCAGACTGGCTTCAAACTCAAGAATCTGCCTGCTTGTGCCTCCTGAGTGCTGGGATTAATGGGGAGACCAGCACGGCTAGCATCATCTTGACTTATCTTAAAACCAGAGTCACTGGTAGAGAGCACAATCCACTCACACTACATCTCCTGTCTGTGAGACACTGCCATCATGACACCACACTCACCTAGATACTCAGAGCCCAGACCCAGAGGAATTACCCTGGCATGTATGCCCATGGGCATTCTATCCCCAATGAAGCACAGTGATACTGTACCCCCAAGGTAGCAGACCTGACATGCACCCCCTGACCATGTGAAGAGGCCCTGCATCTTGCTCCTCTGAAGGCTGTACTGCCACCATCACAAACTCCTACAGTCTAAACGATGGTACCTTCGAGTGTTACTGATGTGTATTCCAGCTGGAGAAAGTAGAGACTATACTACCACACCAGTCTACATTCAAAGCTAACACATGCCACCAGGAGGAGTGATATCCCAGAATCCATCTGCAGGTGAATGGTTTCCCTACAAAAGTTGATACAGAGACCAGAAAAGCCAGGTGTTCCACTAAACATGCAATATCAGTGTAGGGGCACAAAATGAGACGTCAAGTTAATATATCACCAAAGTCCCCAAGAACTAATCCCAGCAAAAAAGAAATGTATCAATTACCTCAAAAGGAATTCAAAGTAATTATCTTTAAGAAATTCAGCAAAGTGTAGAAAATGCAGACATATAATGTAATCAGAAAAAATGATTTTTTTCATCAGAGTTAGAAAGAGATCATGAAAACGAACCAAGGAGAAATACTGAAACTAAAGAATTCAATGAATTAAATAACCACAAACACACTGAGAGATTCAAGAATTTCAGCCATATTTGGGGTCTAGCAAAATAAAGAATTTCTGAATGTGAAGAAAGGCCTTTTGACGTAACCCAGGGAGAATCTCTTTTTTTTTTTTTTGTAAGATTTTTTTATTTATTATGTATACAGTGTCCTGTATATAGTGTTCTGTATACATAACACAACAGAAGAG